ATCTCGGCCCAGCATCCAGACAGGCCATGGGAGACAAAGGGAGACAACCAACTGAAAAGCATCTTGGCCCAGGATCATTTCCTTGCCAGAATTGAGAACCCCTAACAGTACACTGTTTGGGGAAAAAAGTGCTTGCTGCAAGGGCAAAATCTAAAAGAAATGAAGCTCTTCGCCACTTGAGCTTCGGCCAATACGTATGATTAAACCTCTATGTCGTATCAAGTTCTTACGCTGCTTGCGCGTTGCTTACGCAACCACAGTTTTAGCTTACGCGAGGACTTGGTTAACAAAAGTCTTACGCAAAGCTTACGCCATGACACAAGTATGATTCCGAAAGGTTCCCCCAAAGGATGCAACACATTTTGTTCTTCTTGTTCTTGTAAAGAACAGTACTTACGCAAACCTTACACAACACGTGTTGTTCAACATGGAGCTTACGCAACCTTACGCAACACAATGTTTTCTTACGCCACAAATTGATATGACATAGATGCTTAATGGAACGTCAAGGGAGGTTTTGCCTATTGCTCACTTGAAAATGAACCACTTTGCACCTCGCTCTGCTCTTCAACAGGGATAAGCCAGCCACCTGAAACTTGCTGCAAAACCAAACGTTCTTGCACATATGATTCATAACTTCAGGAGGATGGTTAGTATTATGTATATACTGTGTGTATATATATATATTTGTATATCTATGCCATCTATGCGTATATTCCAGTCAGATGGAGTGTCTGGGTCACGAAGAATTGTCCAACCCACGGATGAAGAACGTTCAAGAATTGTTCTGGTGATGGAGGATCTGATGACGAATGTTCCACCCGCTGTCTTCGCATCTCGCGAAGTTCCCTGCAACCCACGAACAGCTCCTTTTCCGAGGAACTGGTTGATGAATCAGCCCAGTCAAAGCAGTGCTGATGAACTGGCATCGATTTGGACAAACACGTGTATATAGTGGGGACATACGTTCCCCAAAAGCTTTGGAGAATGAGAAGGGACAAGGGAAACCCATGGAAGAAAAGGGTGCTTACCCCCCACTTCAAATGTGGGCGAGAACGAATAAACTCTTGATTAGCCAATTTTGATCCCCCATGTCTGAAGAAGTTGAAATATCAAGACTTCTACATGTGACTTCCCCCACCGGTGCGCACTTTGTATCGGCGTTCCAAAAACCACCGGGGTTCCACCCCGCCGATGGTCCGCGCCTCAGGGGTCTTCTTGGCCTGGGGCTGACCGCGGGTGGGACGTCGGTCATGTCGGTCACGGATCGACGGAAAGCAGGTCCAAGCAGCTGTTCCTGGTCCCAAAGTCCTGGGTCTGGACGGTGGGAATAGTTCCTTATTGTATTCGCTCCAAGACCGTCTATATAAACAGTCCCTTCGATTTTGGAAGATGTTCGCAGAGTCGTTCAATCACCCTGGGGCTGGGTATTAAGCAAGGCGATGTGCTTTCGATGCACCATTGCCAAATATCGCCACACTCCGATCACCAGTCCTGGTCCCTCCGAATCCGATTTGCGCGATCTCTTCACCAAAGCTGGCTTGGCTTCACCAAACCCAACATGCGCTGTCTTATTCATCTTATTCACCAAAGCCAAACCCAACATTCACGTATTTTTAACCAAACCAGCTGCGCAACAGGGTGTGCCCTGCACTGCGCTGTAAGATCTGCCTCGGCTCATCCTGACCAGGAGGGCCTGAGCAGTTTCTCTCTGAGACAAACTGAAAAGCTTACTTTACGACGATCAATCCCCGCTGATCTCTTTTTCTAGGTCGCCCCGGCTTGGCTTCGGCTGCGGTGGAAACGCTGGAGGTTGCGATGGGGGCACCGGTGCCTTGCGTTCAGGCGATGTGAACAAAGACACAAGGGGAATTCTGAAAATGCCCAATGAGAATTCAACTACTTGCCGGGACCCTCAATGGTTGCAATGTAGGCCCCAAAATCAGGCCGAACTGTACTGCCTGAACGGGATGTCCATTTTGTTGCGACACTAAGTCGTTCTTTTGTATGCTTATATACATATGCCACATGCCTATATATACATACGCACGCACATCGGAAATACAATGTGGTGTTGAGCATCAGAGGAGACAATAACTCTGCGGCATCCAAAAGAACCGGGAATGACTTGTTGCGGTAAGTGAGAGAAACGCAGCATTGTCATCCATCACCACGGCTGTCCTGCGGGGCACTGTCTGCTGCGCAACGTGTTTTTCCCATGCCAACAAAGTGCCGACAAAGGGTCCGGGTGGCTAGGCAACAAATTTCAAAGCACCATTTAAACTTGATCATTGTATGCTTTGACGCACTCTTGTCGCTGTGATGGATGATCTCTCTGGTTTGGGTGGAAGCTGGTACTTGTGGGTACAAGTTTTCATTGCTGCAAGTTGCTGCAAGATTTTGGAAGGAGCTGAAAAGTTTCTATTTCAAGAGGATCTGCCTCACTTTGTCACCGGGCATTGCAAGTGAGGCGTAGATACGGGACACAAAAGGTTGCTCGAAACTTTTCATCTATCCCACCTTCTACAAGTATGCCTTCCCGATCGTCGTGGTCCAGGTTCTTTCTTGGCCGCTGCCAGACCTTTATACCGAATTCCTTGTACTGAAGTGCTCAGGGATCAGCAGGGCTCTACCTAGTGGCCTTTGAGGATGGTGTCTGATGTCTGCAAAACAATACCCTTCAGAGAGCTTCAGAGAACTAACACCAAACAGCTCGCGCATGGCTGAAGTAGTTGTCTGCGTGAGAAGCTTCGCACATCACTGGGCAGAATCTGATGCCGTGCTCGCAACAATCCTCGCGCACCAACGACAGGCGTCGCCCTCCGCTTCCACAGTGCGTCGCGGCGTCGCCCTCCGATCGGATCCGAATCACCTGCGCGGTATCTGCATCAACTCGAAGAAGGATGGCCTGTGAGAGTGTGAGAGCGTGAGAGTGTGAGTGAGAGAGTGGGAGAGTGAGAGAGTGAGTGAGTGAGAGAGTGAGTGAGAG